GATTGAATTGCTACTGGCTAAAGACAACATACTAGGATGATGCATGATGATGTAGCATTATGATGTAACAAATGCAAGTAACATTTCATTAGATTGCAGCATAATGCAACTATTTTGTCCCATGATACTCATACAAATAGATAATATCCCCACTTCTTACCGCAAATGAAGGTTTAGAAATTATTCAAATTTTTGTTGATTCTAAAGCAGGAAAGAAATGGGAACAGGATTCCCCAGCTTCCAATACCAATCTAAGTCCCTTCTGTAGTTTTGAGGAAGGACCCAGGGCTAAGATTTTTTAAGGTATTTAGGGAGATAGAAATGCCAATAGAAACCCAGTGGGATTTTCAGGGAGACTTTGGTACCTGTCTGCATCTTTGAGTGCCTAAATAGTTTTAGAAATCTGGCCCTTAAATTCTTTATCTCATTTTTCCACTCTCTCCTCTGTAAATGGGAATAAACCCATTTACCTGCTTCTTGGGAGGATTAATTAGTAAACATTCTGAGTTAAGTTAAAAATTAAAAAAAAATTCCAAGTACTTTCACTCCCCCATATGTGGGTACCCATAGTATGACAGTCACCTGTGTTTGAAGTCAGGTGCAAGTAAGATAAACTATCCTCCTACCAGTCCCCCCAAAAACTCATAACAAATGATATACCTAACTAAAAATGCCACAGAGATCATTTCCCATTCTATTCCCAATTATGTCCACAAAGTTATCTTTCTTTGGTTGACAGGTGACATCACTGACCTTGCATTAAAGAGCAGAGAAGAGGATCCAAATCCTGCTCATAAGTGCTCTGGCTTTCACAATTTGAAAACAGAGAGGTAAGGATTAGGCCTAAGTCCAGTCTTATGTCCCAATAGTTTTATTTTCCCTGCCTCCTATTGCAGGAAACAGGATTGGGACCCCATAACCAGTGTGTCCTTAATCAGTTCAAAGGTCCTACAATGGCGTCCTACTGGGTCTTTAAAAACGTATTCTTCCTGGCCCCTTCTCTTGCAACCAGACATGTCTTGTTTGCAAGGGGGGAAAGCCTTTGCAATGGCTATAAGGCTTTCAGCCTCATGGATAGGCAATCCGCAGCCACCCTCCCTTTTTGTACTCCACAATGTGCCCAACACAATAAGGCTAGCAAGCTAATATTCCTTTACTTGACTCACTTCTCTATTCCCTTTCAATTTATCCTCTGCTGCCTAGCAAATTCAATTGCTTTTGTGCTCTTCATGTTTGTGTTTTATATTCTCTCTCCACTTGCCACCCCCCACTCCACTTGGCAGTGTGAGTGTGTTTCATTACTTCTGGGTGAAGTAACTGACGAGGGGGTCAGTCCACCTGAAAATTGCTCTCCCTGGACCTAAATGAAACAGATGGGCATTGATGATGTTTTCAGAGAAATTAATCAGCATGGACTGGTGGCAGTGCCAGGAGCTCCATAGGCCCAATCTAGCTTAATGAATTCCAAACTCTCTGTCTTAATAGCTCCTGACAAGACTAATTTACTCATGTAAGTGATTAGAGGGGGAATGATCTCTTAATTGTTGCTTAAGACTCCTTTAGACATCATTTTTGGGAAGAAGAGACTTCATTTCTAGCCAGGGGAATGAGAAAAGGGAGTGTTTTTTTCTTTATTTTTTTGTGGAGAATGAGGTAAAGCAAAGAAGAGAATACTGCCAGTAGGTTAGAAGATCTCCAGAGTATTCCAAGGTGGGTTCAGTGAGGAGAGGATTTGTCTTTCCTTCATCAGCTCTGTTGACACTGGGAACATATACATATGCACCGGACTATGCAGTTGTTACTCACAGTCATTTAGTACTTGCTTAAGAGACTTCTGTTACTGTGCAGTCCCGACCCTACGTAGCCACATGGGTCACTTCCAATGCCACTGCACAGTAGCATCGGCATCATGGTTCATGCCTGCTGATACTACATCATCATAGCAATGAGCTACAACGACACTACCGTGACGTAGTATCTTCTGTAGATGCACCCACTGAGAACACGTAGACCAGAGAATTACCTTTTGAATCAGCTGAGCATCTGAGAAAGTACGTGTTCAAGTATGTAGCTGGTAATTGAGACTCTGCTGCATGAGTGAGTGGCAGAGTTATTAGGAAGGCACTTCAATTTGTCCCATATAGTAGCATTCTTGCCCAGAATTCACAACGCCATGAGTTCAGTAGTTTCATGTCCAAAGGTGAAAATTCAGGGCAACAAAGGGTAGAAGGAGATGCTACACTCTTAGAGTCATCCTTTGGATGCGATATTAAATAAAGCAAGGTCTCCTTGGCCCAGCTCTACCAGAATTTAAATTGCATCCTATTTTTGAGAAAGCTGGAGGGGACAATAATGGTCAGAACTCCACCAGGCATAAACGGTTCCATCATCCAAGAGTGTTTTCCACTCTTGCCAGGTATAAACTGACTGCTGTGTGTGTCTAGCCTCTGCATATTCTACATACATCTCACTGCACAGCCTCCTGGATTCCACATGCAAGATAGTAATATTATCAGCTGGTCTCAAACAGGAATCTACGTTTCTCCTGTTACAGCAGCACAACATTTTCTCCCAGCTATTTTTGCCCCAATCTAGAACTTCTTTTCTTTCAAAGGATTACACTAATTTTACTGTTAAATCTCTTCACAAAAGCACCTTTTCCTGGGATCCATCCTCATGCATTCTGAAATTCCTGTAATGCCTCTATAATAGTTGCCAGGTTCCTTTTCTGTAACTGCACGGATTTGCAATTGTATGAGGGAGAGGAGGGACACACAGATGAGGAGGTCTGTATAAATAGGGCCCTAATAAAATCCCAGTCATCAGCCTACATGGAAAAGCACATCAAAAACTACACTTGTGCTCAGGAACACCCAGGATTTACAATCAATTCCTGCAGCATTAAAAGCCAACTATGGACCTCTGACTGAAGAATGCAAGTTTAATGGACTGAGAACCTGGAAGGAGGGTGAGAACAGCCCAATCAATTTCTACATTTACTAAAACTGATTGCTAACTAGCTAAATAAATAAATAAATAAATAAAATAAATGAAAGCTACATCTGTCGATCAAAAACAGATTTTCTCCAAGGGCATTATATAAGGAAAAAAGCCCCATTATGCCTCCAAACCCACAGCTACCAAAATCAGCTAGAGTGGCTTTGTGCATGTGCATGTTTTGGGGAGGAAAGGAGATGGGGAAAGGCAATCTTGTGGAATTTAAACTTTTTCCAGCCTCCAAGGCCTGACAAATCTCTCTTTTATTCACTCCCCCAGATTTTTTCTTGCAATTACTCTTGTGAAAATTTTTGTTTCCTTTCCTACTCCCTGCTGCAGCAATTAAGTAGGCTGCAAGACACCTAATGGAAAATGTCCATTATTATTATTATTATTATTATTATTATTATGCATACCCTTATTGCCAAAGAAAGCCTAGTCATGCACCAAAATGCCATGGTGCTGGGTGCTGTGCATTTACTTGGCTGTCTTATCTATGGACAAGTAGCCAAAGTAAGTAACTATACAAACCTGAGAACACAAATGCAGTTTGCTTGTTACACAGTATTGCATGTTACCACAAATGCATTTCTGGACTATAGCCAGGTCCTCGTGTAATACAACCATTTTCAACACCCTCCTCCCCTGCATAGTCATTGTGTAAAGTAATTTTACTCACAAATGCCATTTTTGGGGTTTTATTACATCACAATCCTCATGTGAACTCAGTTGTGTCCTTGATACAAGTTAAAAGAATCCTACTACCCTGCAACTTAAGTACTCTATGATATGAGTACAAAGTGGGTATAAAACACCATAGTTCTCTACTGGTTACAATTTGCTTCTCTACTGGTTACAATTTGCATTTATGTAAGCAACTAAGAAAGAAGGGGAGCAACCAGAACCTTAAGGTGCCTATGGATATGCTTGGGGGTAGGGGTTGGGATAGGGCGTTTTAATTAGAGCAGTTCCCAGAGAGCCGCTCTATATCAATCCATCCATTAGGGCTGTATGAAACAACACTATTTCGTTTTTTCTGTTTTGACGGAACAGTGTTTTGTTTTGAGTTTAATTTCAAAAGCAGTGTTTTGTTTTGTTTCGTCAAAACAGTTTCGACATTTCACCCAGGCTATAATGGGAAAGCACAAAACTGGAGGAGGAGCAGCCTCTTCCATTTACAGGCAGATCAGGGCCCACACCCCAGGAAGGAGTCCAGCACAGCCCCACAGCCCTCCCAGGGGTGCGGGCAGGAGGCTGCCACTGCCACCTGGGACTGGTGCTGGGAGCTGAGCCAGTGGAGGGAGGTGGAGTGCAGGCCCGGTGCTACACTCCACTACCCCTCACCAGGCTCGATTTCCTGGGGCTGCAAGTGGCTGGGAACCGAGGACAGTAGAGGCGAGGAGAGCACAGCTGCAGGGCTGCGTCCCACCTCCCACCACCGGACTGCAAGTCACTGGGAACTGACCCTGTTTGGGGGGATGGGGGGCAGAGAGCAGCCCTGGGGTTGTGCTCTGCCCCACCCCACCCCCCTACCAGGCTGCAAGCTGCTGGGAACACAGCCAGATGGAGGGGGGCAGAGTGCAGCCCCTGGGCAGGAGGAACTCAGCCCAGTGGCGGGAGACGGAGTGCAGTCCTGGCTCTGCCCACCTCCTGCCACCAAGCTGAGCTCCATGGGGCTGGTGGAGTATTTAAAGAGCATTTAAAATGCAGGTTCGGCATTTGCAAATATCTGAAACCGCAAATGCTGAACCTGTAAATACCTAGGGTTTCCTGTATATATAAGCTTTATTTCAACAGAAGGAAGCATGAGGAAGAGAATTTTTCAGTCCCAAGCAGTCTTGATCCATTTACCAGTTAGACAATTTTAAACACACTCTAAAGCCCACGTGATGGTTAATTATTCTGAGTCCCCTCCTCCCTTCTCTTTGTTCATGTTATCTTACCCTCAAACAGGCCTGGGAGTACAGTGCATTTGCTCATTAATAAAAGTGAAGTACACTTACCCACAGGGGTATCCTCATTGATCAACAGGTAGGTGTCAAAGAAATAATTTATGAAGTACGGCAGTCGATTGCTCAGACCTGGAAGGATAAATGGATACAGCTTAATTTTTATCATATTTCATGTGACTAGCAGGAAGCTATGAGAGGCAGTGCTTGGAGCAAACATCTGGGAGTACCCTGGGTTTATCCCTGAATCTCTGTACAGCCTGCAGCAAGCCATTTAGTCTTCAGGTGCCTTAAGCTAAATACAACCTTAGGGACCCACCTGGTTTTGCCCCTCACCCAGCAGACTGCAAGAGCAGAGAGGGCTGCAGACATGGTTAATACAATCCGATTCCTGCGAAACAAATACGGGGAGAAAAATTACATAATTGGTTTCCTGCCTCTAAAAAGGTTGAGCATCCAAAACTGTGACATCAACCCGAGTGGAGGATGCTGCTAACAAAAGCAGGGAGCCACATTTTATATCAAAGGTGCTCACACGCTCTAGTAAGAAGTGCTGTATACATACTTAGGCAATGGGGAAAGGAAATTAAATTAACTGTGTTGTCATTAAAGACAGAGTGTGGCAGGAGGGTCATGATT